CATTCTACCACTAAGTCATACTTCCAGCTTTCAAAAGAAATTTAACATCAAGAAAGAAGGTATCTAAATAAGCCCCCTTTCTACCTGCAAAAACCTAACAGGCACAGAATGTCCCAACTGTGGTCCTGATTTTCCTATATTAATGTTCTTATGCTAACAATGCTGACTTTGCTCACAGTAGATCTGTACTCCTTTTTTGATAATGCCTTCTGAGTTGTTGATGAGGCAAAGTGATAGGAAAATCAGTATCTGCCCAGTATTCACATCTTGACTGTCTCAGCTAAACTGAGACACATTTGAGTGTTATCTTTCAGACTTATCTACAAACTTACTTCAAAGTTTCCAAAAAAAAGTTGGAGATGGGTAAAACTGGGTAATGTCACCTACCCTTTCGTAGTGTTGAGAAGTTAATAGGTGATGTTTATGGGAATGCACCATTCATAAGATAATCTTTTGTAGATATAGGCATAACTGTGTTGCTGATAAACTGAATAATGGTATGAGCTAAACCCCAAGTGAAAAGAAAGAACATTTCTATTCATATTTCTTTTGTAGTTATATAAAACACACAGAACAACAACTTTTTTAGGGGCTGTAGTAATTCCAAATTCTCCTTTTAAAAACCTCCTTATGGAAAAGTTCAAACATATGGAAAAATTTTGAACATATCCCCAAATAGAATAGTATAATGAAGCTATCATTTGATTTCAACCACTAACAACCTACTCAATTTGTCTCATTTATATTCTTACTCAAGTCTCTGTCCCGTAATGTCACAGAATTATATTACAGTGAATCTCAAATGTCATATCATTCTCTTCTGAAATATTCAGAATGTTATCTCTGTTAAAAGACCTTTTGAAAATACAACCATGTATAAAACTGTTTTTAAAATTCTTAACTTCATCAAGTATCTAGTCAAGAAATGTACCAAATGTAAGTCAAAGTTAAGAAAAATAGTACCTTGAAACTTCAAAGATGAACTTTACCTTTGTACAACTATTTAATAAATGCTTTCTTAAAGCAGGGAGCTAGAGACCAGGGACTTCAGTGCAAAAAACTTCACACGTGTGCCATAAAAATATTTTTTTTTTTCTTACTTGACAGCACTCAGAAAATCAAGAAGCTTGAATTCAAAACATTTCACAGCTTTTTGCCCCTGGTTATGGCTGAATGTGCTTCGTGCCATATCACCTCACATTGCCAGGAAGGATTAGACAAGTTGAGAAATAAATTCACCTAAAATAACAAGAGATTTCATCTCAGCAGGTACTGACTGAACGCTAAATTTACAAAACTGCTATATCATGAGGACCAGAAATAAATTCAACCCAGTTAATTTATAGTCTACAGTGAGAAGGGGCCCAAATAAATAAATAAAAACCCTCAATGAAATGTGATGAGAAAGGTACCTGTTTTATGTATTTCCTTAGGAATCCAGATTGAGAAGCAATGGCGGTAACTGTAGTATCAAAGGGGTGGCCAGGGTCAATTCTGCTGGGATCATTCCCTGTGCAGATTGTCCTTAGTCCCCTTGTTCAGACACACACAAAAAACGTATTTTCTAGAGTCTACACTGGACAGGGTGGGAAAAGCCAGCATGAAAACTGAATTAATCCTAACACTTAAGTAGAAATGTTGCAAGATGACTAGTTTATCAGATGGGTGAAGGGAAGAAAAGGGAGGTTTATTCCAGGAAGAGAAATCAGGAACAAAGAGGTGGAAATTACTGGCAGCTTAGGGAACCAGCAATGTGGTGACCTTAGGGCAGAAAGTATAGGAGGGGCTGGTGGACTGGAAATGTCTGCTGGGACCACAAGTTGGATCCTTTTTCAAGGGGGGGGAGGGGGCACCGAAAGGCCAGAGACCGGGGAAGACTACTCACAGGTTGATAGGTGCTGTGTTTACTGAACTCAAATGCTTGAACTAGTTCCAACTGGGAGATGGGAGGGAGAAGCCCTGTACTAAGGAATCTCCCCAACCAAAGGCTATGGGAAGTTGAAGGTGGTGGTGGTAGAAAAAGAGGTGACATGACACATGTAAGAATATTTCAGACATTACAAAAATGATTATTTTTAGAAAGATTAAGGTTCAGAAGTATATAATTAAATTTCTATTATGCATGTGTTAGTATGTCCATCCTCATTTTTTTAAGTAAAAAAAAACCTCAGAAATATTACCTATATTCTACAAAGACATTTGCCAGTCAAAAGAATGCATAATCTCCCCTTCCTGTCAAAACAGTGAAAGACAAAGGGTTTTAATTTTAAATATGGCCAATCTAGGTTCTAATTTCAGCACCTAACTGTGGGAGTTGTGAGGAAATTAGTATTTTAAATTTTTTCTCTTATTTTCATAAATAGGGATAATGTTGGCTAATTCTTGGGTTGTTAAGACAAATGATTAAAATAATTCCATGCAAAGCATCTGGTAGAGTATCTGCAACAGACTAAATACTCAATATGATGAGCTGTTTAATTATCAATAAAACTTCTTTGCTGTGAATGAATTTTAATAAGCTCATTAGCTAAGCTGATTTTTATATTAAATATTTACAGTATACAGACCTATCCATGTAACCCCTGTGATGAACACTATCCATTAAGAATGTGCTAGCAGAAATTCATAAACAATGTATGATTTATCTCCATCTCTAGGCAAAATGTTAGATTTTCTTTGTCCTTAAATGTCATTGACTCTAACTTGACTGAAGTCACGTATTCACAGAAGACTAAATACTAACCAGGTGTCAGGAAAGTACCAAGGGAATAGATAATAAGTTGTTATCCTTCAGGAGCTGATAACCCCAGTGAGACAAACAGGTGTGACCTTCAAATAACCATGGCCCAGATTTGGCATAAGAGATGGAAATACTGGCACTAAAGTCTTCAATGCTGCCTATGCCTCCCCTGTTTAAGTCACATGCTGAGGTTACTCTTTCAGCCTTTTCTTAGGTTTTTGCGTTCCTTTAGCATGATACATTATACATCAATTGTAATCCTGGTAGTATCAGCAGTCTTAAGTGTTACAAAATACTGGTCACTCTCAAAAGCCCTATTTCTGGTTTGAACAGCCTCTTCATTATTAAAGCATCACCAAACAAAAGTTGCTTTGTTATACATTGAGATGAATAATTTCAAACCATTTTCATGTGAAACGTTCTGGCACAGATTTGCTCTCCCCCTCCCCTTTCCCACAGCTGAAGCTGGGGCTGGGGGCAGGGGGAGATGGGAAGGTGATGGGAATTGTTTTTAATTTTTATTAAAACCAAGGGATAATAATGAACACCGTCCCAGTGTTTTTCAGAATTGCCAGTAAAGGCTTTGAGCAAAATGAAGGAGAAAGGAGAATTAAAAAAAATACATTTCACTTTCTATATGGCAATGTGGGAAGAAAAGAAAGGCCCAGGAAACGTTTAACGAAAAACCAGCTACCCGATTATTCAAGTATTTCTCTGACACAGATGGGTCTTCAGAGAAACATCAATACTAGTCTATAGAGAAACAACAATATAACTGTAAATAATAGTTTCTAAAAAAGCTTTCATGGCGGATGCAAATGTGGGGTGGAAGTGCTTCGGTGAAGGACAAACATTTTAACAAGCCAAGTGTGAATCCCAGGAGGGGACACACTTACATTTACCCCTCATCTACCTGTGGTGGAACCCTGAAGCTACACAGCTGAATGAAGGCTGGATTAAGAGCCTAATCTGAGACTATATATAGACCGCAACACCACGGTAATCTCCGCCCTCTCCACGGCTCCCCCTCCCTATTTCCATAAATCTCAAGATCGGAGTTACAAAGAGGCTGGGAACTCTCGCGGAGCCGGGAGGCCCGTCCTCCCCACCCCCTCCGCCCGGCGCTCTCCCCTAAACCAAGTGGGAGAGCGAGTGTAAATTGCTCCCCAAACATCCCTAACTGGAGCCGCAGGGCAATCAGCTCGGGTTTTCGTGTCCAGCTTCCCGAGGCCGAAAGGAGATGACAAGTAGTTGAGTGGGGGGGCGATGAGTTAATGGAGGGGGGAGGGCTTGTCCCCCCCAAACCAGCTCTTCCGAGTCTCCCCTCCTGCGTCCCCCTGGCGCGCCAGGGGATGCTTCTCCCCTTCACCTCTACCCCGGAGCCCCAGCCCCGGCCTCCAAGAGGCGGCCTGCGGGCGCTGCCCCGCACGAGACCACGTGCGAAACCCGCCGCTTCTCACCGCGTGGCCACCCCGCCCGCTCCGCGCGCGCGGTCCCGGGGTCTCCGCGGGAGGCCGAGCGTGGCGAGTCCAGGGGGCACAGCAGCGGGATCGTGTGTCCGGTGGGGTCGGGGTGGAGCGCGCACTTCCACCCCGGGAGGCAGGCAGCCCGCCTCGCGGGCACATGCTTCCTCCCCGCCGGCTCTGACCCCGTGTGCGAGTCCCCGGGAGAGGCTGCGGCCCGGGCCCAGCCCCGGCCCCGCTCCGGGTGGTCTCGGCCTCACCAGGGCCGACGTCTTACCTGTCCGAGGAGGTAGCGACAACGCGCGGGGCTGGGGGCTGCGGCGGTCCCGGCAGCGGCAGTGGCAGCGGCGGCGGCAGTGGCGGCGGCAGACAATGGAGGAGTGAAGGACAGACACATTGACATAGACACACGGAACCCGGCTCCGCCCCGCCCCCTGCACCGCCCCCTCCTCCCGCCCCGCCCGCTTCCCGGTGTGCGCCTCTTCCCGGGGCTGCCCTAGAAGAAAGAGCCACGTCCGAGGGCCTCTGCGCACCACCCAGAATTTACACACGGGCAACGGGGCTATACGATGGAGAGGAAGAATACTTTGTGCACGAAAATATCGGAATAGGCTACGATGGAGATGGTCGGACCCGTAGGAAATAATTACTCCCCCCCGTCACTTTTCTCTATTTGGTTATTCCCTCCTCGGGTACTCCAATTGGAGTCTCTTGCTGACTCCTCTTGCAGCTCCGCCTCCCAGCCCGGCCAATGACGCGTGGAGGGCGGTGTCTTGCAGCTGGGCCTGCAGGGACCGCCCGCCCGGCTCGCCCGAGCTCGCCCGGAGCCCGCCGGCCTCAGGGAGCTAGGAGAAAAGTCTAGCGCTTCCGTAGTTGGCTATTCTGTGTCCTGTTCTCAAGTTGCCACATTGCAGCTGTCTTTCGTAACGCAGACACGTCTTTTCTCTTTATTTCTGTCTCTCTCTGTTTTTAACACTTCCACAGAAACAAAATAACCTTCAAGCTGGCGGGAGCAATGGTTCACATAAAGAAAGGCGGGCTGACCCAGGAAGAAAAGGAGCTACTGGAAGTGATCGGGAAAGGTATGGGTTACTGGGTTAGCAACCAGGTCCTGGCCAACCTGGCTAGGGGGCGTGGCGAATGCTGGGGCTGGGGAAGCCTCCGGCTCTGGTGACCCTAGGCTGAGAGTCAGCTCCGGAAACATTTTTCCTTTGGTCTAGGGCCTGGTTTTGCAGGGCGGGAGAAGTGGAACACACATTGCTGGGGTTGGAGCAGAGGTGTCCGGGCCTGTCCTCTAAACCAGCTGCTTGGAAATGTAGATTTCTATTCTTTCTCTCCGGTTATAATGAAAGTCCCCAGGATGTGGGTCTCAATACGTGCATGCTTTAAAACTCCTCAGATGATTTTGAGCAGCGTGGGTCTTGGAGGGGGTCCACGTTCCTAGGTTGGTGTCCGCAGGGCCCTTTCGACTTCCGGAGGCCGCAAGATCTGGAGCGCTCGCTGGTCCCCGCCCCCACTTGGGGGTGGCGGGACCGCTCAGCGAGAAGGGTTCTTTATAAGGGCACAGAACTAGGTCTGTCCTCGGCCGCTTGGAGGTTTTTACATCCAGGATCTCCAGGAGTGCGGGAGGACGGCGGCGGAGCTAGGAACCTGCGGAGAGGCAAGGAAATTGCCCAGACCTCCACACGCACCCATCGGCTCTGGCTACACCGGCTCTATCTAGTAATCTGCTCCCTGATGCTTTCCTTTCCTCGCTGCCAATGCCTGTCCCACTTCCGCTGCGCGGGTTGGTAGGAAAGGAGCCACCCGGAGGAGCCAGGAGCCATGTTTTCCCTTCAGTCCCAGAGTGGACGTCCCCGAGGAATTTCCTGCAGAATCCCGTTACCTGTTACCAGGCAGGTGTCAGCAACGTGACCTCAAGCTTCTCAGGCGCTATTCTGGGATGAGGATGCTGAGGCCCGCAGGCATGATTAAGCAGATTGGGTGTGTTAGATGCCTGTGTGCTGGGCTTGGGGCTTGAACTTGGGGTCTGGGCACTGTCACTGAGTTTTTTTGCTCAAGGCTAGCACAGTGCCACCCGAGCCACACACCTCCACTTTGGTGGTTAGTTGGAGATGATTCTCACAGGCAGTCTGGGCTGGCTTCGAACCAGGATACTCTGCTCTCAGCATCCTAAGTAGCCACGGGCACCTGGCAATGAGATTGTTTTAAATTCAAGAATAAGAAAGCCACATCACATCTGGGTGCCAGAGGCTCCCATCTGTAATTCTAGCTACTTTGGAGGCTGAGATCTGGGGGTTATGTTTATAGCCAGCCTGGGCAGACAAAGCAGAGACTCTTATTAACCAGAAAAAAAGCCATAAGTGGAGCTATGGTTCAAGCGATCGAGCATTAGCCTGTAGTGAAAAAGCTAAAGGAACAGTGCCCAGTTCCTGAGTTCAAGCCCTACTCCTGGGGCACCCCCCTCGTCGTCCCCCCCCCCCCCCCCCCCCCGCGAAATGCCAAGAGGCCAGACTTTGCAGCAGTTTCCATCTAAGGTCAAACTCAAATCTAAATCCTCAGAGACTAAGATGAATTTCTTCTCAATAACAAGGAAAGTCTAAATGTTAAAAAAAATATATATATATCGGGGGCTGGGAAGGTGGCTCAGTGGTAGAGCGCTTGCCTTGCATGCATGAAGGCCTGGGTTCGATTCCTCAGCACCACATAAGCAAAAAGAAAAAAGCCGGAAGTGGCGCTGTGGCTCAAGTGGTAGAGCGCTAGCCTTGAGCTGAAGAGCTGAAGGACAGTGCCCAGGCCTAGAGTTCAGGCCCCCCCCCTCCAAAAAAAAAAACAAACCGGGTGTGAAATTAACAGGCAATGAACTGTGCCATCTAATTAGATCTCAACTTTCAGTCAGTCACAGCTAGATTTATGTAAGTGCTGTTTACCTGGAATCCCGGACCTTTGGGTTGGTTTTTTATTGCATGGTTCACACGATCTATTTGGCATTTCAGTCTTTCAGTACTGCCTGTCTCTGGGTAATTCTCCCTGCCTTTGGTGACTGTGGGACTTGATTTAGAGATATATGTGCCAGTTACTGTATGGGCAAAAAAGACACAACAGATAATTCACATCCACCAGCAATAAGAATTCTCATTTTAAATAAACCAAAGTGGTCACATATTCTTTTAAAAGTAGAAACCTGTGATAGTTACATAAAATAGGTCTCTGAAGCTGGATGCTAGCAGTTCACACCTGTAATCCTAGCTACCCAAAAGACTGAGCTCTTAGGATAAGTGTTTGAAGCCAGCCAAGACTGGGAAGCCCAGAAAAAAGCCAGGAATAGAGCTGTGGCTCAAGTGGTAGAGCACCAACCTTGAGTGAGAAAGCTAAGGGAGAGCCCAGGCCCTGAGTTCAAACTCCAGTTTGAACTATGTGCATGCACACACAAAATAGACCTCTGAAATGGAAAACAGGGTTGTTTGGCTATATTCTGGGACATCCAGTTTTATTCCAAAGATGGTATGGAAGAGGACCAATATGCATGTAGCTTTCATTAGCATGTGATATTTGTGAGCCTACCAGTGCACATATGCTGTGTTTCATCACTTTAACTGGCCCTGGGCCAATAAAAAAAACAAAGTGGATACAGTATGTCATGTGTTCTTGCCAAATGAAGGGCTGTAGGACATCATTGCTCTCTCGAGAAAATATCGAAGATATGAGAAGATAGCTATACCCGACATTGATTGAATCATATTACAAGCCAGGCATAATTCCAGTACTTTTTGGGTATTTGTATATTTAACTAATTTTTATTTATTTTTATTTTATACTAGTACTAGGACTTGAATTCAGGATCTGGGCACTATCTCTTAGCTTTTTTGCTCAAGGCTGGTACTCTATCACTTGAGCCACAGTTCCAGGTCTAGCTTTTTGGAGATAAGAGTCTCATGAACTTTCCTGCCCAGGCTGGCTTCTAAGAGTTTTCCTTAGATTCTCAGTCCTGTATAGAACTAGGAGGTGTGGTCCACTGGTGCCGAACTTCTTACATTTAATCTTGGTGAGCTGTACATTAATTTTAAGCTATAGCAATTATGAGAGCAGCATGGATGGCAAGCACCATCTATGAAAGCAGATCTGGTTTAGAATCTGGTGAGGTTTCCGTGTGCAAGTGACTTTGCCTAAGTTTTCCATATGAAAATGTGGGGTTGGTTGATGATAGTCACACCTTCTGACATTTTGTTAGGTCAAACATTGACAACACTGTGTTGCCTGCTTTCTCATTTCTTGCAATTCTGTGTAGCAGAAGTGTGACAGAGTTGGCAGAGTGGAAGGGAAAGCACCAGCCAGCCCAATGTGTACCACAAGGCTCCAGGGGTGTTGGTAGACATCTGGTCAAGTTCCTCTCCTCTGCAGGTCCCTTCTGCACAATTCAGGGAAGCATGGAGTTGGTTGCTGATTATGTTAATTTACCCTTTATAGACAATGGCACTGAAATTGAAGACTTTTGGAAACAATACAAATCCACTATATTAAAGTATATATATATATATATATTATAATTAGAAACCTGTAAGTTTTTAAATATATGATTATTTTAAATATATGATTATTTTGGAAGAATCTATACCTATAACCCAACGCATACCTTTCGGAATGTCATGGTTTTTAGAAGGGTTGCTGGAAACAGTATCATTAGTTTGCTTCTGTCATTTGGTTTGGTTTGGCTACATCTGTTTATCTTTAATAGTAACCTCTAGTCTCAATCTAGATACTAGAAATGTAACAATAAATTATATTGTGCTGCTCTGAATACAAAATAATGGATCCACAATTGAGCAAGCCTCTGGTCCTTTGTAGAATCCTATGGGTTGGATGAGATGGTGTTTCACACATGAGGATGTGGGTTTTGTAAATCTGTTTAAATTTCAGAGTAGTCCTGAAAATCCCCAGTGGGAAAAAAGCAAAAATGAGAATATCACTTTTTTGTGTGCCTACATTGAGGCTTGAACTTAAGGACTCTGTGCTTTTGCTCAGCTTTGTTTGCCCATGGTTGGCATTCTTCCACTTGATCCATGCCTCTAGCCCATCATGCCACTTCTCATATTACCTCTTTTCTGTTGATATGCGTCTTTCCCCAGATTAATCATTCACTCCCACCCTAAGGAAGCAGGTTGTGTTGTGGTTTTCTTCTTTGGTTTGAGCAGCTTGTAGAATTCCTTTGCTGGGGAACAGACATCAATATTACTTCTATTCCTAGAGACCTGGTGAGTTTTGCCTTACAGGAGGGTAAATGTTGGCTGAACGTATGCCCTTTCCTAGAGAGCAGTGAACCTTCCTACCCAAATAATTTGTCCAATTACATTGAGCATATTTATTTCCCAGAGTAAAACAATTGATCTTCAAACTTAATTGCAAACTATTGTCTGAGAGTAGCCTCCTAGTAAGGAATGACAAGAGGTCAAATTGTGTATCAGCCAGGTGTTTTCCGTTTCTGCTCTATCTAAGTCCTTTTGTGGTTCCCGCTTACTTGCCAGTAAATGAAGAACAACAAATGAAATGCTGTCACAATTTCTTTTTTCCTCTCAGTGCACTTTGCTCATCTATTTTCCAAAATCCAGCCTCTTCCTATAGATTCCTTAACTGTTTGGGATATTTTTCTCAACTAGTTTCTTATAGTTCAAGCAGCCAGGCTTCAGCTAATGAGTGGTGTGTGCTTGTGTGTATGTGTGTGTGTGTGTGTGTGTGTGTGTGTGTGTGTGTCTGTGTTCATGTAATGTGCATGTATGATAGAATAAGAATTATCTATTTGCTCTCTGCCCCTACTCCTGACACAGAGACTAAGACACTCTCAGCTGTTTCTAATCAGTAGGGGTGCTGTATACATCTTTTGATCTAATGTGTGATCTTTGACCCTGGTTCTTGGCAACAGAGATACTAATCCCTGGAAGTTTCCTGGGTGACAGAGTGTCTTTTGTTCTGGTTAGTGGACCCATGGTGGGCTCTTGAATTGCTTCAGTGTATGGGCTGCTCATTAGAAAGTTCAAGCGATGACTAGAAGCTCAGAGTCTTTAGGTTTATATACTATCCTCCCTGCTTCTATAATAAACATCCCTGAACTGTGACTGGGTTCAGAATGTCTACATTGTTAGTGGATGGAATGTCCAAAGAGGGTGTTGTGCCTCTTTCCTTATGCTTTACCCTAAGGGGGTCTCCTCCATTGGACTCTTAAGACATCTATATCCCTTTGTCTCCCTGAGTTCTATGAGCTGTCCTAGCAAATTGTCAAACACTGAGGATGTTCTATTGCTGTATGCTGTTGAATTGCTTGATGTGATGGAAAACCTCTAACATTTGACAGCAGATGTAAAGTACTCAGACTACTGAGTAAGAATTTAGCATAGGAAGTGGCGCTGTAGCTCAAGTGGTAGAGTGCTCGCCTTGAGCTGAATTGCTCAGGGACAGCACCCAAGCCCAGAGTTCAGGGCCCACGACCGACCAAAAAAAAAAAAAAAAAAAGAATTTAGCACAAAAAAAGTTTATCTTTTTTTCCTCCCCTAAACTACAGCACTCCTTATCTTTCTTTTCAGATTGTTTCTGGGCAAGACAGATTAATTTAGATTGCTGGCCACTGGACTAACATTTTATAGAATTAGCAGCAATGCTCTAATAAGATCCAAATGTTTACGATTGCAATCCCCATCCTCTTCTTAACCTGCAGCAGTCTTCAACATGCTCACTATCCCCCATGGCATTCTCTCTTTACTGCAAAAAAAGAAAGAAAAAACCTCAGTGAATGCTCAGTGGAGAAGGTGGTGATTTTCAATCAAGGCATTTTCTTCAAGTGCAGATTTGAAGGTGCAGGGATTTCCGTTCTGTTCTTATCCTTCTCTAAAGCAGATTGAGAAGGGCTGTGAAGTGAAGCCATAGGTAAGGAAGGATAAGGTTTAAGGTAGAACTTGCTTACATATGAGAGTTCAGGGTCAGAATAAATGCACCTCTTGCAAAAATAGTTGCTGTCAACACCAAAGCCGTGTCGATCATTCTTCTGACAGTTTCCCAATAGAGTGGTGCTCATGCCTACCCAAGAGACATTTCTCTTATTGGTAAGGGACATTGATGTGACTTGCCTTTAAGAAACAAGTAGATGAAAGAAGACTTACCATTCTCAAATCCTAACTTCTCCAAAGAGAAGAAGTCATCTTCCTCAGAGATGTTCCTGACCTTGTTTTACAGGACAGGCTGTCTCATCCTTTCTCCCAGGGTACATTTACTCTCATTGTCCTCTTCCCAGTCAAACTAGAAACTGTTTGGCAGAACATGTGGCTTCTTGGATTAATAGCTATGTTCTATCCTGTAGCCACGCACTGGCTTCTACCATTATCTCACATAAGACTGGAAAAACCTGCTAATTGTGGCCCAATTACAGCTTGTTTCCACGTTTGTAGAGAACTGCCTTTCACGTTTAAATTCGATCACTTTCAATGTAGCAGTCTGAAGACTGACAGAGGAGTGCTTTTATGTACCAGATTTTTTTGAAATAATTTTTTATTGAGATGAAGTGATGATGTAAATTTCACAGTATTGTGGGATAGTGATACTTAGTTAAAGTCACAAACACCTTTTAACCTTCACAAGGCAAATTGTCATTATCATGGTCTATAAAGTTTGTGAATTCTATAAACTTTTGACAATACAACTATTTCTTCCAAATCAGGTGATATGTACATTTCTTTCGTTTTGCTTAGTGTAAGCTGTTTGCAGATATGTTTTACCCAAACAATTCCAAAACGTGACATTTTGTTACAAATGTGCCATCAATTCACAAGATCCAGGGCTGCCATGTTGTGCATTTTGAATTCCAATGGAAGAGGATTGGAATTTAACCTTCACTGGTAATTTGGATTAGATTGGCTCTAAGGTTTGTTTCAATATGAAGTCTTATGCTTTGTGGTTATTCTCCTACTGCCATGAAGAAAATGTGACCAGTTTAATGTCATGAAAGGGACAACAACATGAAACCAATGTAGTTTCTGCAAGTCTACTCCTGGGGTGGGGGAAGAGTTACTTGTGAAATAAATAGTATGGGATTAGGTGTTATAAATCTTTAAAGCTTATTGCCTTAGTTTGGAGATGTAGCTTCATGGTAGAGTATTTGCCTCACAAATACAGGGACTGGGTTGGATTCCTAGCACAGAAAAAAAAAAAGTTTATTGCCTTGGTATTAGATTTTTTTAAAAAATTCCAGTGACAATCTTAACCTTTTTATCTCTCCCCCCACTCCAGGTACTGTCCAAGAAGCTGGAACACTATTATCCACTAAGAATGTTCGTGTTAACTGTTTGGATGAGGTAAAATGCAAAATATTGATAACGTTTTTCATTTCCTATGAGAATGGATCATTTCTAAATCTGTCAATAAAAGCTGTTTTCTAGCTTTTCTTCTCCAAGTTATACTAACAGTCTTTAAACCAACTATAAGAAAACAGATTGTAGAGTGCTAGACTTCTGCTGAAGAGCTGAGGGACAGTACCCAGATCCAGAGTTTGGGCTCCAGGACCGACCAAAAAAAAAAGGCAGCAAAAAACCCATGACTTTTTTTTGGGTGCCTATCTTGCGGCTTGAACTCAGTGCAACACCCTTCTCCCCTCCCTTCCCCCCCACAAGCTTTTATACTTAAGGCCAGCACTCTATCACTTGAACTACAGCTCCATTTCTGTTTTTGTGTGTGTGTAGGTGGGGCGCGGTTTGGTAGTTAACTGGAGATAAGAGTCTTATGGACTTTCCTGCCCAGGCTGGCTTTGAACGGCAATGCTCAGATCTCAGCCTCCTGAGTAGATCAGAGTACAAGCATGAACCTGTATTATAACAGCATTATTCACAATAATTAGCAACCCCAAAGTCCCATCAATTGATAGATGAATGGATAAAAAGTGATATAGTTAAGCAAACCTGAGTAATTTTTATTAAACTTAAAGGATCAGTTAATTCTTATTTTACCAAGTTGCATCATTAATTTACTCAAACATGAAAAGATTCCCAGCTCGATTGATAAGTCCAATGAAATGGTAATGGCATGTAGGAAGAAGAGCCACTCCTACCCCCACCCCCGAACTAGGAACTCAGCTCAATTTATAATTGCACACATGCTAAATGAAATGTTAGTAATTTGATTTGTAGCAAAGTAAGTTTTTCACCAATGTTAGGTTGGTTGGTTAAGTTTTAGAAAAATCTTTCAATGCTATCCAGTGTATTACAGAAAGAAACACATATAACTGTCCACAGATGCTAAAATGAATTTGCTAAAACTCAGTGGCCATTCATAAGAAAAACGTAAACAAGATACTGAAATGGGATGACTTTGCTTGATAAAAGGTTTTCAGAGACTTTTGACAAGGTTTTCAGAGACTTTTGACAGAGAATGATCTTATACTTAGTATACATCATTAGAAGCACCTGGAGAAAGACAGAGACCATTGAGTATTTCTGGAGATGCTTTGAGTCAGCTGAGACAGACTGGCCTTCTTGATGGTCCATGGGCAAAATGGAAATGCCTCAGTCTTCCTGAGTTCTGTATTTGCTGTCCCTTCACCTGGATCTTTCATTCTCTAGTTGGTATCTCTTGTTCTATAACTTTCTTCAGGTCTTTGCTCAAATGGTACCTTGTCAGAGGGCCTTTCTTCAATGTTTTTTGCAATAAATAAACCTTTACCCCCTGGCAATACCATTCCCCTTATGTTATTTACCGCTTACAATCGTATCACCATCTGTTTTGTCACCCCTATGGTGTTAGTCACTATGATGAAATACCTGAGAAGATCAGCTTAAAAAAGGAAGGATTAATTTGATTAATTTCAGCTCCTGGTTGCTCAGCACTGTTGCTTTGGGCTTGTGACAATAAAGCAAGACAGTGGGACTCTGTGGCTGAGTGGAGCTGCTTACCTTCTACTGTCTAGGAAGCAGTGAATAACTGGACACCCTCCCCTTCTCCTAAAGTTTCCATAATTTATTTGATAGTGCCATCAGGCTGGTGACCCAGCTTTTAGCATATTGCCCTTCAGGGGAGGATGTTTAAAATCTAAACCCTAACACCTACTAAAGTTTACATGTCACAGACTTAGAATATTGGCGCAAGGAATTTGTTGATTGTTACCGACAGTGTGTATGTCTATGTATAACATAAATTAACTACTCTATGAGCTACTTGCTGAATGAATCAGTGATGTTTTTAATGATATGGAATTTAAACATGTAAACTGATTTGTTTTATTGAAACCTCTTTGCACATCTACTGTAAAATATAGACATAGAAATAGGCATAGTAGCCTGATACTGATGAATTATTTGATTTAAGAATACTAGAGATGGGCATGGTGACATATAACTATAATCCTACCTCTAGGAAGTCTGAAGTAGGTATGAGGATTGTGAGTTCAATACCAGCCTGGTGTACATAGCAAGACAAGACCTATTTCTCTCAAATAGTGAAAAAGACAATAACAAGGAAATAAACAAATGTTACTTTAAGATAATTGTATTTAAGAAATCATAGAAGATCATTGACCATACCAATTAGTTAAACAAGCTTCTTTTAAATTTGTGTTTGGTAAATGAAGAATAGAAAATCTTTTACTTTAAGGATTTCATTGGCTTTAAAATGCCACAGATTTAAAACCTCTAGATTTCAGAGATATTGCAAAGTGAGGTAGTGTCAACTGATTGTAGTTGTAACCTTTTAGTACTTGTAAACAGAAACAAAATTCACAGATGTTAAATATGCAAATGTGCTTCTTAGAATTGATGAACCACATATAACACTATAACATTTTATAAAATTGTAGCGCTGCTTTCCTAATTTGAATGCAGGGATGAGAATTCAATATATTTATTTTCTAATACCATCATATCATCTTTAAAACTGGAAGGTAACACTTTAAATTCAGTTTAGTCAATTTATTTTAAACAGTTTGTTTTATTAAATCAACAATTTTGTTTTGAATCATTCCTTTTCTTCTCTGGATATTTATGTTGAAATACTACAAAGTGCTATAAGGCTGAAAAATTTATAGCCTTATATCTCTGTAGAACATTAACATGTATTAATTTTGCTTAATTCTTTTAGCCCACTGAAATTTTCCCATAAGATATGGTACCGGGACCCACATGCATAGGAATTGGTGTGCTCACAAGTTATAAATTTCCCTTTGCATGCCTCTACATTTCTGTAGCATAAAATTGAACTGACATAAGAAAATATATGTGATAGTCACTCCTTTGAAGAGCTAATTGAAACTTCCTGACCAGAAGGTTGGTTTCTAATCCCAGGGCATCCAGCACAGCACTGAAACTGATATGGGAAAAGTACCCATTGCATTATGTGCATTCTCAACCTGATGGAACAACAGTGCAGAGATTGAGCAGCAAAGGATGTAATTGAGAAAACTCGTGGCCGTTTTGAAAGAGGATGTTTTATTCTTTGGGTCTAAAATCAGTTTCTGTTTAGTAAATGAGAAATCACAAGAGAAGTAAATGAGAAATAACAAGAGAAAAGACAGTTAAAAATTAAAACAGATTAAAAAAAAAAGAAAACTAAGAGGGAAGGGAGTGAAAGCAGGCAGGTAAATTGCAGAAGTGATTCATAAGGAACATTGCAATATAAGAAAATGAGCCCAATTGACCATGCTAGATCCCAAAACTTGCCATAGCATTTTGCCCTTCTAAAGTTTATCACATTGTAGTTCTTTTTTTTTCTTTGAACAATGGAGCAGTTATGTAGTTTCAAGAGTATTTTTTCTCAGAACTAGGTAACAGTTGACTAGATTGACAGCATTCTGGATGAACAGAAGATGTTAAACTCAGACTGAAGTCTGAGACCTAGATTTTTTATAAAAATTAAATACTTGTTCAAAAGAGTTCCAATGAACATGTCAGTTTATAAGTACAGTGCATCTTGATCAATGTTACCCCTTCCATCATTTTTCTCCCATCTCTTCTAACCCCACCCATATCCTCAAGTTATTTAGTTCCATTTGACCCATGTACATTGAATATTATGATTATTGGCCCACCCTTCCCCTCTCCATTGATCTGTCCTCCCTTGACAGTCCCCCTGCCCCTGGCCAAATGTCTTTCAGCTTCTTGACCTTCATTTTTGTTAAGCTGTTATTTGTTTAAATGAGTTACACCATTGCTAATTTTTTTAGGGGTGCTGGGGATTAAGCCCAGCACATGTAAAACACATACTTTATCAATGAACTATACTTTGATCTCCACATATTAAAAATTTGTAAAAGAAATAATTGATTGCTTCTTTGTGATGGCCCTTCTGATAGTACCGTATCTTCCACTCCTCCCTCTCTTACACTACCCTCTTATCTCTAGGTTTCAGCTCCATTATGGCTCTCATATTTTCCTCATTGAAAGACTGGTAACTTTGAAGTCATTCTTCTAAAGCACTCATTGGCTGGCTCCTGTGTACAATGAGATTTCTCAATATACAAATATCCACTTCCTATAAAAATACCAACTAAGGGAGTCTTAGAAGTTATAATCGCCCACATTTTTCCAGTTACTCTCCCAAAACATTAATTACTTCTTCTGAGTTTCCTCTTATATAAGCACCTGAAAGGTCTCAGCCTCCCTATAATTCTTCTGTCAGTAACTCTCTTAAGAATAATATGGCTTTGTATAAACAAAATGGTAGCCTCTATTAATATAACAGTCTGGAATCAGCAAGACCAGTTCAAGTGATTCAAGTGATTCTGGAAGTAAAGGTGATATGTTTTAGGAAGGTTTTTATCCTCAACAGCTTTGGCTTTATGACACTTAGAGTTTGGCCAGAGTTACTGAAAAGGTTGACTTAGAGGAAATAGATCATTTACTCACCAAATAGTCTGAGGTGTTCCGTGCATAAAATGTTAACTTTTCCACTGGATATGCATAAAACATATGAGTCCAAAGAAGGTAGCCTGGTGTGAATACTACCCATTAATCTATATTTATACAATCATATTCACAGTCTGATCATAATGTAATAACATATACATGTGACTTACAAGATCCTTGTTTAAAAACTGATAACAACTATAGTAGACATTTCCCGTATCTTCTTTTTCCCCTCATTGGCACTAATTCATGGAAAATTTCCAATTTAAAGAGGAGTTCATTTATTTACCTATACCTATATCGTTATTCAACTTTCTCAATAAGCATTCCATTTACTTTAAGGTTGCTTTTTTTTGTGTCTGTGTTTGGATCTGTTTGTCCATTTGTTTCTCCAGGAAATAGATATTTGGTAGAGAGAAGAACCTTGGATGATAAGAAATGTACTCATAAAAGTGAACTTTACAACTTTGATGGGGGAGGTGGGGGAGGAGATGGGGGGTGGAGATGGGAAGGCATAGGAAGGGGAAACAAAGGAGGAGGCAACAATGCTTGATAAGAAATATACTCATTATCTTGCCCATGTAATTGTAACTCCTCTGTATGGTATTTTCACAATAAAAAAAAAGAAATGTACTCATTACCTTGCTCATGTAATTGTAACCCTTCTGTACAGTTTTTTCACAAAAAAACTTAATAATAATAATAATAATAATAATAAAAAGAACCTTGGAAAATTTGGGTTCTGATCCCTGCCCTACCTATTTACTAGTCATGTGAACTTGAACACATCCTCTTTCTATCTATTTGTTAGTCTGTTAAAAAGCTCAGGAAATAAAGCCATCTTTTCCCTTAGAAGTTTATGAATGATGCAAGTTGGGAAATAAAAAGTAAAGATGATTTATTGGTTCATATCTATATTCATGATTAAGAAGAAGGTAAGTATGTATATTTCACACATTTTTGTCTCTTTCTGTTAAAGAATGGAATGACTCCTCTAATGCATGCAGCCTACAAAGGAAAACTTGATATGTGCAAATTACTTCTGCGCCATGGAGCTGATGTCAATTGTCACCAGCATGAACATGGGTACACAGCCCTCATGTTTGCTGCACTTTCTGGTGAAGTTTTAGCTTTTTACTCTATCACTGTTTTGTCTCTCTCTCTCTCTCTGTATATATATATATATACACACACACATATATATATATATATATATATACATATATGTTATACATATATATGTTTAAGTATATGTATATTTTAAATCAAATGCATTCTTATTTTAGTATTTTTAAGATCAAGTTTTATGGCAAGGTGTGTGTGTGTGTGTGTGTGTGTGTGTGTGTGTGTGTGTGTGTGTGTGTGTGTCCTGGGGCTTGAACTTAGAGCCTCTCGGCTTGAACTCAGGGGTCTCTTGCTGTTGTTGACTTTTTCACTCAAGGTTTGGGCTCCGTCACTTGAGCCACACTTCTGGAACTTTTGCTGGTTAACTGGAGATAAGAATCTCACAGATTTTTCTGCCTGAGCTAGTATTGAACCATGATCTTCAGATTTCAGTCTCCTGAGCAGCTAGGATTATAGATATTAGCCACCAGTGTCCAGCTTTTGAGACTGATTTTTGAAATTCTACAATTGGTGAAAGAAATTATATATTTAATTTGGTAATCTTTCTTTAGTGACATAATTGATTTTTTCTCTTAACATTTTACTAGACTTGAGGAACTATATCTATTCTTTAAAGTTTGTTACTTTGATATTCTGTATTTTCCCAATTTGAAGTAATTAGTTCCCTGTTCTCTTCATTGAACAGCTGGCTTTTTGCCTTCCTGGAATTTATGTACTTAAGATCACTAGCCATGTGGAACCTTGTGATTGTTGCAGTTTTTAAAGAAAATATAGTTGTGATACTATAGCCTCATATTTTTAAAAGCATCAATCTACATGTTTATAATCCTGGAACACAAAAGCATTTGTTTTTTGTTGTTTTTTGCTTATGTGGTGCTGAGGAATCGAACCCACAGCCTCATGCATGCAAGGCAAGTGCTCTACCACTGAGCCACCTTCCCAGCCCCCACAAAAGCATTTATAAGTATTATCTATGAGGTACAGACTCCCAAGAGAACAACCTGGATTGTAATATGTGGACAATACACTAAATAGAGTTAGAAGAATAGAAATGAAGGCAAATACTTACTGTATGTCTTAAAGGGTCATATTGTTATACTTAAAGAAGTTTGTGAATCAGAGGAGCAAGGTACATACTGGAATGAAAAATAGGACGGAGAACAAGAGAAATACAACTGACTGATACAAGCCATTTTCAGTATTAGTCAAAGAGATTAAACTAGTATAATAAACTATCTTTACACTTTTCAAATTAGAATAACCAGTTATCACTCTCCTTTTTTTTTCACACTCTTTTGGAGCATGTGTTCAGTCTAACCTTGGTAGATGGCAGCCTGGACATCTATGGATGTCCATATTCCATCCATATTCCCCAGAAGCTGTCTGTAAGAAAATCAGTGTTTAGGGGCTAGGACTGTAGCTCAGTGGTAGAGCGTTTGCCTAGCATGCATGAATCCCTGTGTTCCATTCCTCAGTACCATATAAACAGAAAAAGCCAGAAATGGTACTGTGGCTCAAGTGGTAGAGTGCTAGCCTTGAGCAAAAAAAGCTCAGGGACAGTGTCCAGGCCCTGAGTTCAAGCCCCATGACTGGCAAAAAATATAAAGAAAGAAAATTAATGTTTATACTCTGAGTAGAAAATGCTGTTCACTAAATGTAGCTTATAATAGCAAAATATCTGTAATGATTAAAAGAGTAAGAATAGATCAATTGTGGCTATTCAGATAGAAGCCATCTAGAAAGATGGATCTTTGGTTATTATTATTATTATTATTATCCTCTTTTTATTCCAGTGTGAGGGATAGAGGAATCTATGTGATATTAGAAAAAGACCTGTATTCATTCTTTTCTCTTCTTTATTTTTACATTTGTTTTGATTGTATACTAAGCAGTATTATTAGGAAAACATGTTGCATTTTAACAAGTGATAGTCAATTCCATGCCATTGTTATCTATAGACAACAAAGCTTTTAAAGTAGGTTCTGGAGCTTTTTACTTTTTACTGCAGTTGTAATTCATGTTTAAAAAAATAAAAATATGATACACGCTTAAAAGCAAATTAGGTAAAAGAAAGTGCAATTTGTGTGTGTGTGTGTGTGTGTTCCAGTCCTGGGTCTTAAACTTAATGTCTGGGTACTGTTCTTGAGTTTTTTGGCTCAAGTCTAGCTCTTTGCCACTTGAACCACAGTGTGTGTGTGTGTGTGTGTGTGTGTGTGTGTGTGTGTGTGTGTGTGTATCTTTAATTGGAGATAAGAGTCTTATGGATTTTTCCTGCTGGGCTGGCTTCAAACCCCTCAGATCTCAGCCTCCTAAGTAGCTAGGAAAACAAGTGTGAGCCATCAAGGCTCGGCAGGTTTGCGCATATTTTGAATGAAGTATTTCACTTGTGCATGATTTGACATTAAGAAATCTATTTTTTTAACTCTATAGGTAATAAAGACATTACATGGGTTATGCTGGAAGCTGGAGCAGAGACAGATGTGGTCAACTCTGTGGGGAGAACTGCAGCGCAGATGGCAGCTTTCGTGGGTAAGCTTTTGCTAGACTTTTACACAGGACCATTGTCCAAGTTCCCTTTCTGAAATGAATACCACTTTGCTTGTCAGACTACAGATAATCATTCTTTTTTTTTGTTTTTTGTTGTTTTTGGGTCCGGTCGTGGGGCCTGAACTCTGGGCCTGGGCGCTGTCCCTCAGCTCTTCAGCTCAAGGCTAGCGCTCTACCACTTGAGCCACAGCGCCACTTCCGGCTTTTTTCTTTTTGCTTATGTGGTGCTGAGGAATCGAACCCAAGGCCTCAGGCATGCAAGGCAAGCGCTCTACCACTGAGCCACCTTCCCAGCCCCTATAGATAATCATTCTGTTCACAGTCCACTTTGTCTAGTGTAATGAAATACCTGATGACACTTTTTGTTCTTATTGTCTTATATCTGGAATTTCATTACTTTTTCAGCATTACATTTTTGTGGATGTCTCCAACTTTCTTCATGATTTCTATCTTCAAATTGTTCTGAGATGCTTCCTTAACTTGATCTACCTTATGAATTTGGTCCTCAGTAGTTAAGATTTGAATCTTACTATGGTTCTTGAAAGCCCCCTCATTATGTACTGTAAAATAATTTCATGAAGGGCTTTTATTGTTTGTGTATTTATCTGTAGTGGTGGTGGTAGTTGTTGAGTTGGTGCAGTTAATGTGGTTAGGACACCTCTAACCCATAAGCCATCTGTTGGGGGTACTGGATAGTTTTAGCTTTTAGTGTTGTATCTGCTAGATAGCAGGTAAAGTTGCTAGTATTGTCTGACAATGAGAAATGCTAGTCCATGCCTGTGGATTCAGTGTCACCAATCAGCCAAGGCACAAGAAGAAGTTGTAAAACTTTTGATTAACCAGAAGCTGCCAGTGGTAAACTGAGTCTTCTGTCAGCCTCATGTGCCAGGGTCCCACTGGGCCACAATGCAATCCTCCTTCAGGTTATTTGTTGGCAGGGGCTTTGCAGCCTTCGCTGTGAGGACTACTCTCTGGAAGCAGAAGCCATAGCATCTGGGTGTGCCCCCAGGACTCACTGCTGCTAGTCCCTCAGCTCCTATCAGGCAGAGAGGAGGCCTCTCTGAGGCCTGTGCCCTAGAGTGTCCTGAACGTTCTGCTTGCTTTTCTACAGTGGCTACTTCCTGTCTCCAGAGAGATAGTAGAGAGGGAGCTGGGGAAAGCCACAGGAGTGCGCAGGCCACCGACTTTGCCAGGGAAAGTGTGTGTGTGTGTGTGTGTGTGTGTGTGTGTGTGTGTGTGTGTGCGCGTGCCAGTACTAGAGCTTCAACTCAGGGACTACGTGCCATTGCTGAGCTTTTGTGTTCAAGGCTAATGTGCTACTACTTGAACAACACTTCAGTTTTTGGTTTTCTGGTAGTTAATTGGAAATACAAGTCTTATAGACGTTATTGCCCAGGCTGGCTTTGAACCTCAATCCTCAGATCTCAGCCTCCTGATTTAGATTACATGTATGAGCCTCCAGTGTCCTGCCAAGATTTTACTTCCCAGAAATGTTTCTGAGAAGTGGCTTAAAGATCAATGAGAAACCATAATGTGCATTTCAAGCTTATGGAAGCAAAATATTTTCAATAGTTTACAAAGCAGCCTAGCTTCTCTCAAATTCAAGGTTAAAAGGGAAATTATTTTAGGTAAATAGTTATTATAATAAAGATAGGATATAGATTATATAAATTATGTGCAATACAACTACATGTGTTTAGGGAAGAATGACTATCATTTGTGTAGGGATGGACGGAAGGAGAGACTTTTTAAAGTCTTTTTAAAGTCATTTATAACTTGAGCATTTTTTTGCTAAATTACAGAATCTTCATATTTAGAATTTCCACTTTAGAATGCTTGTAAACACATTCTTCTCCTTTTCTTCTATGAGTTATTGATGCATGTTTCCTTCCTTTCTTACTGTTGAATGATAAAATAACTTTTCTATTTCTGTATTCAAAGGTCAACATGATTGTGTGACTATAATCAACAATTTCTTTCCTCGAGAGAGACTGGATTATTACACTAAACCCCAGGGATTGGATAAAGAGCCAAAACTGCCCCCAAAGTTGGCAGGCCCACTGCACAAAATTATCACCACCACAAATCTTCATCCTGTCAAGGTAGTTTGGTGGTTATGGTATTTGACTTTTATTTCAATATTGCTTTGGAATTCAAATGGTCTTATTATGTGGGATGGTGATTGTCTTAGGCTGAGTTTAGATATAGAGTTTGCATTGGGCTTCCATTTTCAGTTGATTTAGTCAAGGAATGCTATTGGCAGATAGTGGGGGAATCTGTCAGGAGCTGGAGGAAAGGTAGGCAAACAGGAGGGTTCAGCCTCAAACCTAACTTTACCTCATTCTGTAGGTAAACCTGGAGTGGGCATGATTCTGTCATTGGCCAGTGCCTATCTCCAGGGAGAAAGGTGAGACATCTAGATAGAAGTAAGTGAGGTGAACCCTGGGAAATGAAGATAATTCTCTGGGGGAAGCCACTGTAGCCCTAGCCACTCTGAGCACTGGCTGCTAAGGGCTACTGTGCTAGACTTGTAAATAGGACCTAGATCTGGCACTATCATTAGCTACTGCAATAAGTAGTCCTCCAGGAAATATTCTGCAGTGTGATCAGGAATGTGTGTGTGTGTGAGTGTGTGTGCGTGTGTGCACGTGTGTGCACGTGTGCACACATACACACTCTTATTAAGGCTTGATTTAAGGCCTAGTACTCTTCCTTTGCTTTTTCATTCAGTTCTGTCCTTTACCACTTCAGCCACACCTGTACTTCTAGCTTTTTGCTGGTTGATTAGAGATAAGAGTCACACGGACTTTCTGCTCTGGCTGGCAGATCTCAGCCTGTTGAGTAGCTAGGATTATAGGCATGAGCCATGCCTAGCTATGAACACATTTTTAATCCAAGTGACTATTTGAAACTGTTAAGTAATTCAGTTCTTCCAGTAATTAGTTAGATTAGTTACTTCTCTTCACACACACTGAGGAAAGAGAACTCCTGGGAATAGTAGCAACTCCTTCCCTATGGCCCTTAGGCGTGATACAGGCTGGGCTGGGAGACAGGTTTGAAATTAGTATTTTTGGGACTGGGAAGGTGGCTCAGTGGTAGAGCACTTGCCTTGCATGCTCGAGGCCCTGGGTTTGATTCCTCAGCACCACATAAGCAAAAAGAAAAAAGCTGGAAGTGGCGCTGTGGCTCAAGTGGTAGAGCGCTAGCCTTGAGCTGAATAGCTGAGGGACAGTACCCAGGCCCAGAGTTCAGGCCCCACGACCAGACCCCCCCAGAAAAAGAAGTTAGTATTTTCCCCTTGTTTCTACCTGAGCCTGAGCATTATAGGATAGTTTACCTTAGAACAATTTGAAGACATTCCTTATATGTTTCTGATTCACTTGACTTTTTTTCTGTGTCTTGAGAGTATAGTAAGGTTCTGGAATATTGCTTTCCAGTGATTTTTAAAATTAATCTTATGAGTTGTATACACAGTAAGGGGTTTTAATATGTATGTTTGCACACATATACATCTAATATACTTTCATCCTATCCATCTCCTCTCTTACCCTTTCTTCTCCCTTTCCCCCATATTTCCCTTCACATCTGGGATGGTTTTTGATGTTTACTTGGGACCTACTCTTTCAACATTAAATGTTATTATTCTTCAGTAATTTTTAAGAGCAGATATTTAGAGTGAATTAGATTGAGGGCAGATGTATGTAGATAATAAATGACAAAGTTATATAACCTGAAATAGTTGGCATACTACTTTTGGAGTATTGAGTCTTATAAAGAGACTATTGTTTGACTATAATACCTTGCTTCAGAACAGTCCTTGCTATGTTGTAGGTATAAACAATTTATTCCCTTGAAGTCCTTTCTTTTATCAATATCTTGGATATAAAAGCTGCCCCGTTGCTTTTGTTGTGGTGGCCCATTTTCATTGCTTTACCCCTTTTCAAAGAAGCTTGCTTGCTCATAGGAAGTATTATTAAAAAGTAACAAACAGCTACTGTCTACAGCCAAACTCCTTTTAAGATAAGCATAGAAGTTCTCTACAGTACACAATCCACCTTTTCATTTCCTGGCATCTAACCTAGCTTCATTTGTGTCTGCGTTGGCTGCTATAGCAGTAAAAATGTGTTTGTTTCCAAAGAGACTTAGGGAGTTAGTTGTGTGGATGCCAGAAACCGAGGTTATAACCTAAGAGAAGAACAGAATGCCAGAAAAACAGCAAAGAGAGCAGGAGACAGGTGCAAGTAGGGCAATCTTGCCTTTGATGATTAAGATGATTTTCAGCAGCAGAGCTGTTGACTTGGCAATATACAAGATAAGATATGGGCTGTCAGGTATAGTTCAGTGAAGAGCATTTGCCTGCTCTCCTAAGGCACTAGTTTTGATTTTCACTATGAATTTTTAAAAAAAGGAAAAAGGAGATTTAAAAAAAATTCAAAATGCCACTGGATGGATACGCATATCCTAAGATAGCAGTTCTTGTTTTATGTATGTGTGCCAGTCCTAGGCCTTGAACTCAGGGCCTGGACACTGTCTCTGAGTTTTAGTGCTCAAGGCTTTCACTCTACCATTTAAGTCATAGCTCCACTTCTGGTTTTCTGGTGATTAATTGGAGATATGAGTCTCATGGACTTTCCTGCACTGGCTGGCTTTGCACTGATTTCCTAAGCTCTCAGTCTCCTGTATAGCTAGGATTCTAGGAGTGAGCCACCGAAGCAGTTCTTTGAAGGGTAAGATTCATGTACTTCTTCTGCTGAAAAGAATGTTTTTATTCCTTGTTGGTATGTGGTAGTTAGGGTTTCCTGTATATTACTTCATCAGCTGAAGAGAAAGAAGGAAGCTAGTTAGTATTTCTATAAAGCTATATAAATGTTTATTAAACCCATGGCATTGCTCTGTTTGTCATCCGTTCTTTATAAACATTTTATGTTACAAAACAAGAAAGGTCTAATGCCTCAATAGACAATCTAGATCCTATTTGAGATCTTTGAAAGTTTGAGAGTTTATATACTTTGATTTTAAATGCCATATACAAAAATATTGATCAGGTAATTTAGCTGACTGCAGTTAGTAGAAGTATAAATGGATAATTAATGAGCCTTTACCACAACTTTTTTTTTTAAGGATCTCATTTTTGGAGCTCAGGCTGATCCCCAACTATGATCCATCTGTCTTAGTTTTACATTGTTGGCATTATAGGTATTCACCATGCTAAACTAAATAATAATAATAATTATTATTATCATTATATGCCAGTCCTGGAGCTTGAACTAAATAATAATAATAATTATAATAATTATTTTATGCCAGTCCTGGAGCTTGAACTCAGGGCTTGGATTCTGTCCCTGAGTATATTTGCTCATGGCTAGCCCTTAACTACTTGAGCCACAGCTTCATTTCTTTTGTGTGTGTGTGTATGTGTGTGTGTGTGTGTGTGATTATTTAGAGATAAGAGTCCCATGAACTTTCTTGGCTTCCAACCAGGATCTTCAGATCTCAGCTTCCTGAGTACGAGGATTATAGGAGCCACCTGCTCCAGGCATATAATATGTGTTTTGTTAGAAACAGTAATCAACAAATTTATTTACCAGTAAAGATTTGGACTGTACTTTCTTCATTAAGCCCAATGATATATATTGTGTTAGATTTTAGATTTAGTAGTGTAAAAAATAAGTGAAAATCCTCTTCCTTTCCTATGAGCATTTAATTTATTAAACTTCCAAGTAAGGAGCTGGCATGGGTTTCACTTCAGGTCACAGATGTTCTTTTTTTAATGCCTCAAAAGAAGAATGTGACTCATGAAATCTACTACCTGTTTCTCCTTGACATTTACAAGCCCTAACACAGTATTTATCTATAACATATTGGTTAGCAAGTACTGGATGGGCTGTGTGTACAGTTATACCCATATTGTACACTTGGCTACCAGGGACCCTATAGAAGTTATGTGCAGATGAACTTCAAGTAGCCTATCCTGCAACAAAGTATTTCTCACTGCACTAAATTTGAGCTTTGTTTGTGTAAATATAGGAAATATGGGATTCATAATATATAAATATGATAACTCTCTATTATTTCCCCTTTTAGAACTGTTGATAGTTTCCTCTTTGACCTATTCCCATTATGGAGATGATGGAAAGCATCTTTAGGAAAATTTCCACAGAGATATGTAGTTGGAAATGGAGCATATTTCATTCCTAGACTTCTTTCTATAAAATCCTTTACCTATAGTTAATAAGAATTAATGAGAGCTGGGTGCTGGTGGTGTGCACCTGTAATTCTAGCTTCTTGGACTAAGGATTCTGGTTCAAAGCCAGTCCAGACAGAAAAGTCTGTGAGACTTATCTCCAATTAACCACTAGAAAACTGGAAGTGACTCTGTGGCTTAAAGTGGTAGTATGCCAGTCTTGAGCAAAAATACTCAGAAACAGCACCCAGTTCAAGCCCCATGACCGACCAAAAAAAGAATGAGAACTATAATTTTCCTTGTCATGAATTTGTAGAACTTAGTAATATTAACTAAAAGTAGGGATTGTTCAGTTATTTGATGCTATATATATATATATATATATAAAGGTTGTGCTTATATGATTATCTTCGGGGACTGTAAAAGCATGTACTCTAAATGACATACTAGTTAGATCACATTTCAATTTGATAAGATCCTCCTGTATTACTTTATTATGTTGATCAGTGACAATCTACATGCTAATTTGAATCAGCACAGTAGCTGTAAGATTTCTAAGAAAAAATTTATTTGATCATCTCTTGAAATTACCTGAACTACCTAATTTATATATGGAAGCGTCTCCTGTAAGTTCACATTTTGAATGTCTTCTAGATCGTGATGCTTGTAAATGAGAATCCTCTACTGGCAGATGAAGCAGCCTTGAATAAATGCTACAAGGTGATGGATTTGATTTGTGAGAAGTGTATGAAACAAAGAGACATGAATGAAGTATTGGCTATGAAAATGCATTATATCAGCTGTATCTTTCAGAAGTGCATTAACTTCTTAAAAGATGGAGAGAACAAACTGGACACTCTAATCAAAAGGTATTTTAACCATCAAATACACTTAATTGGGTGTTTTATTAAAATTTAAGCATTTCATATATAAGCATTAAATTTAAATTAAGCATTTTTAGCAGCAGGTGACATTGTTGGGGGGGGTCACATTTAGTCTGTAAGAAACAAGGGACAGGGCTGGGAAGGTGGTTCAGTGGTAGAACGCTTGCCTTGCATGCATGAGGCCCTGGGTTTGATTCCTCAGCACAACATAAGCAAAAAGAAAAAAGCCGGAAGTGGCACTGTGGCTCAAGTGGTAGAGTGCTAGCCTTGAGCTGAAGAGCTGAGGGACAGCGTCCAGGCCCAGAGTTCAGGACCTACAACTGACCAAAAAAAACAAAACCACACATACACACACAAAACAAGGGGCAGTATTAGACTTGGTGAGATTTGGTATTTGTGATTTACTTATGAGGAATCTTAGGTTTGAAAGGCTAAAGAGCACACATAATAGCATACAGCTAGAAAATGGCTTAGCTCAAATGTGAGACTGTGTTATGCTGTAGGCACCACTCTGTATTCACAATGGCACTCTGTATCTCTGTTACCGTATCTCTGAGAGCTTTGTTAAATCCTTGTGCTTAGACAACCAGAGATTAAATTTTCTTGTATCTTTATTGAGAAATGGGAACCAAAGCAGTAGGTTGTAACTCAATGAGTTTCCATTCTTCCTAAAGATAACTGATATGGTAATAAGTAACTAGCTAAACTGACAAAAGCATTTTCCTTTCTATGGTTGGGGTCATATTTATTTATGAGTGTCAGCACCTGGAAACCTATTATGGCCCAGTTTAGTGCTCGGGTTAAACAGCAATTTGAATTAAGTCCATCTTCATGATTTGAAGAGACAATGAAAATCTTCAGTAGCAAAGAAGAAACTATTAAAAGCTATTGGGTTCAACTGGAAGGGAATGTTTTAGTGATTCAGCTTCAACTACCTTTAAAATATATATCTTCCAGCTTGCTAAAAGGCCGAGCTTCTGATGGCTTTCCAGTATATCAGGAAAAGATCATTAGAGAAAGTATCAGAAAATTTCCTTACTGTGAAGCAACACTCCTGCAGCAGTTGGTTCGAAGCATTGCTCCTGTTGAAATTGTAAGGCTCCTATCCCCTAAGTGAACTGTGCCAGTAAGACCTAATTACCAAAGCCTATTCTCTTTTGCTATTTATTTCTATTAGTTTGGAGTGTTTTTAAGAACAAAGATAGTGATAGGTTTGCCTGCTTGAAGGGTTTCTGTTCATCTATTTCTCCTCGCATGATCTTTTCTCAGATGTTCAGAGCTCTTAAAGTAATAAATAGGAATAGACGGTTATGCTGTGCCCTGGTGGCTCCTGCACAACCCTCGCTACTTAAGTGTCTGTGATGTATAGTGTTGTGGTTTGAGGCCAGTTGTCTGTCTCTAAAATTACCAGCTGAAAGCTTGGTTGGAGATGTGGCTGAAGTGGTAGAGCACCAGTCTAGCCAGCAAGCAAGCAAACCAACCAAGTATGAGACCCAGATTTTAAACCACAGTACTGGCAAAAAAGAAAAAGGAAAAAAGAGAAATGTTTATAAAAGAAACTTAGATGTTAACTACCTCTGTGAAACAAAACAGGTATTCACATGTCATATGCAATACACACTCTTACATGTACACTGGTAACCTAACAGTCTTACTCTAGATAAATATACAATTAAGAGGCATAAGAATTGTTAAATATTTTCTATGTTTGTCCTGCAGAATCTGAATATTTTCTTTATGTCGTATCTCAGACAAAATTCTACTCCCAAGTTCAGTGTATGCTTGTGGAATAATCTTAGTTGAAAATGCTTTCGTTTTAGAATAGGGAGTTTTCTTTTTATTGAGAGTTTAGTTTTGTATTGTTTGTTTATATGCTAAATTCTGTGTAAAGACCAACTTAATAATTTCTTTCCTCGTGTGTTTCTAGATGACATGGCTGTCCTTTTGTCTTTTATGGTGGTTACAAGCTTGTTTACCCTCTTCATATCTACTCTAGGGTTCTGATCCCACTGCATTCGCTGTACTAACGCAGGCCATCACTGGTCAGGTGGGTTTTGTGGATGTTGAATTTTGTACCACCTGTGGAGAAAAGGGAGCCAGTAAAAGATGTTCTGTATGCAAAATGGTAAGAATGGAATTCTTCAAACTTCACTGGTAGCCAAGCTTTAATGGTCTATAAACCTAACTGTTGGTATTAGTGTTCCAAGCAATTCTTACGCATGAAAGTATTGTATCTAATAGTCATTTAGAAAGAGGACTATAGTTTAGATAAAGATCTGGGCACTAATCTTCCCCCCAGAGACTATCTGGCCTCTGCTTAGCACCCCATAGGAAAAAGGATACGAATGGCTGAACATGAGAAATTAAGAGAAAAGTTAGAGAAGAAATGGGTTGAGACTGGTGCGGATATAAAAACCTATGTTAAGATACTTCATAAACACGTAATTTTAATCCTTTTGATGTTGATTTACAGTCTTTGTGAATTCTTTTTAAATTGACAATTTTTTCTGTCAACAAGCTATAATCCTTAGGAGCTACACTGCCTATTATCTACGTAAAAGGCACGTTGATTGTGTTCCTCTCACATCCAGATATGGCAGGCAAACGTGTTGTCTTGTGTGTCCATTTACTCTATGGGATAAGTGTCCTACCAATTTCCAGGCTGAGGTTCTTCAGTATAGTGTATGGAATTTCTCACTTCTTTGCTTATTCCACTGTCCTAGCTGGAGTGGGTCTTTGCCTCCTTTGTGCTCCCATTACTTCTGTGTCCCATGCTGGGGGCTAAGCTGTACTATTGAGGGTCTGCCTCCCTCCCATCTGCCTATCTTATTTTGTTTTTCAACCCAGCTTCCTCTGGGACAATTGTTTTTCTTTGTCATCTTACCATTCCAATTCTCTTACACAGTAGGTTCTTAAAGTCTTTTATAATCTGTTTAATATTACTATTGCTTTAAAGTGTAAGCTAAAAATGATAAATCACCACCAACTCACAACTGAACAATCCATAACCAAATGTCATAGTTTTAAAATATTTTAAAATTTTTACAGAATAGTTTGGTAATATCATAGTTGAAAAGTGATAAAAATCCTACCTCTTAAAATGAACATAAATATGCCATTGCTTTCAGGTCATATATTGTGATCAAACTTGCCAGAAAGCACACTGGTTTACTCATAAGAAAATCTGTAAGAATCTGAAGGACATTTATGAAAAGCAACAATCGGAGGCTGGCAAAGAAAAGAGTCAAGAGGAGAAGAGTATGTATGATACCACTGAGCTCATTTGGCTTCTTCACGGGGAAATAAAGGCTGTGAGCTTAACATTGAGCACAAAAAAAAAAAAAAAAAAGAAAAGAAACATGAGGAGACTCTGGGGTGGCCTACATGAAGATCATACTTAATTGTGCCCCATTTAAACCTTTGAGATACTGCATAGAATATAGTCAGCTGAACCATCTCTGGAAATCAGAGACATAAAATTCTAAGAAATGTGGATTAATCCACAACTTCACTACCTCGAGTGACTACCCTGGAATAATGGGCAATCACATACTCCATTTAGAAAGAATTTAACATCTTTGAACAAGGAAATACTTTTCTCAAATGGTTATCAGAAGACTTCAATATTCTGTAGAATATATGTGTAAAAATTTCTTGGGCTGGGAAGGTGGTTCAGTGGTAGAATGCTTGCCTTGCATGCATGAGGCCCTGGGTTCTATTCCTCAGCACCATATAAGCAGAAAAAGCCAGAAGTGGTGCTGTGGCTCAAGTGGTAGAGCACTAGCTTTGAGCTGAAGAGCTGAGGGACAGCACCCAGGCCCAGAGTTCAAGCTCCACAACTGACAATAAATAAATGAACAAAATAAAAAATTCTATTATCACTATTTTTTATTTTTTTGCTTGTCCTGGGGCTTGAACTGTGGACCTGAGCATTATCCTAGAGCTCCTTTCTACTCAGGGCTAGTGCTCTACCACTTTGAGCCACAGGGCCACGTCTGGCTTTTTCTGTGATTAATTAGAGATAAGAGTCTCACAGGGCTTTCCTGCCTGGGCTGGCTTCAAACAGTGATTCTCGGATCTCAGCCTCCTGAACAGCTAGGATTATAGGTGTGATCTACTAACACCTGGTTAAAAATTCCCAAATTTTTATACTATTGATTCAATTACCAGATGTATTTATAAATTACAAATTGCAGACCTATACAAATTTCTTCAATCATTAAAGCAGTAAGTTCCACATTATTTTTTGCTCTTTCTCTCTCGAGATGAATTATTTTCTTCAGAAACAGTGACTTGATTCAGCAGTGACTCACACTGGAGATGACTACTCCTAGATCTGTGCCTTATCCCAGAGAATACATCCTGAATCTTTGGAGAGAGTTTGTAGTTTGAAAAATTGCCTCCTCTATCTCCACCCATGAAGGGACCACGTTCTTTTTATCACTTGATTGAGAGAAACACTCTTGGTGTGAATGAATGATTATGCAAAATTAAAACATTTGATACTATGAGCATAGCTTTGCTTTCTGTTTTCTAAGGCAAACATTATTATGTGCTAGCTATTCATGTGTGACATCATGAGAGAGTAGGATTCCCAATAGAGTGGGAACACCAGATGTTAAACATCACCCATGTGTCTCAAAGTATTCTAAATGTGACAAACACTTTCTTCTTCACAAATGTAAAATGGGCTCCTGAAAGGTAATCACCTAACCAAAGTGTCAGGCTAAAGAAATGGAAAACTGTACTTGTCACGTCCCCAACAATAATCCTGGTGGAGGGACCTGGCTGTGGGACTAGAGGCTGAGTTCAGTTCTGATTCTTCTGGTTTTGTGGGCATAGAGCTGTGTAACCTATGCCTCTTTTCAGGTTTTCCTTTGGAAAACAATGGTGATATAATAAAGATAAGTTAATATATGTAAAGCTTTGTGAGTATCTGACAATTTTTTTTTTCCTTAGATGGCAAACTCGATGTCAATTCTAATTGTGTTAATGAAGAACAAGCAGAGGCTGAAACGGGTATCTCCCAAGAGGATTCCAATCCTAAAGATTCTGTGGAAGGGGAGAAAGAAGCTCCAGGAAGGGACGAAGGGCGAGTGGAGGTCCCTGCAGGTCCTCAGCTATCTGAGGAGTAAAGGCCATGCAACCGTAACTGTAGCCTTTGCCAGCATGATTGGTCCTCCTGCTGGCCAGCAGCTGGATGGCTCCCATGAACACATCTTCATTGCTCCGTGAGACTACCTGCATGGCTCCACAGTGGGAGGGCAAAGCTCTGTCTACCATGCCCTGATTTCCTATTGGCTTCTGATTTGCAATCGAACGGCTATTCCTATAGAGCAATTTTTCTTTCAGAATACAACAAAACCATTTCCATTCTCTTTCTGAGACTGACTCCTCGGCAGTTTGCCTGAAAGAAAAATGAATCCGCATACAGAAGAAATGTAGGCTCTAGGGACCAACAGCACAGGTGTGAAAGAGAAAGAAAATTTTTATGGCTACAGAAATAGGCTTAAAAAAATCCTAACTTATCTGTGAATAAAGTACATATAAATAGCATTTATTATAGTGAAGTTCTACTTATCCAGATCTGATAAATTGAAGAAAAACTGTATGCTAAACAGTCTTTGCTGTAGTTCAGCCAAGTGTTGTTTTATATAGGAACTAGTCTGAGAAGTTTGAACTTTACGTGGTTCCTGCAGAGAGATTCTCTCTACATTTGTAGAGAGTATTTTTACCTTCCTTCAGAAATGTCACATCCTTCGAAGGAACCGGAACAGGAACTAGGGCTCTCTTAGCACATGCTTTAAGCAAAGCACTTCTTAAAATTTGTGATTAAATACTGGCTAAATCTACTGTCTATGTAGTTCTTGTAAAACTGGGTGCCATATTCCACCCTAAAAGGCTGACTTTTACCCTCTCACTGGCCTTTCAAAGGCCACATCCTTTCAAAAAACTGTAACTATTGTTTAGAGAGGGACACAAGCCTGTAAGTTTTAGTACATGTGTTTACAGAGAGCTTGGATTTGGTTATCTGAAGGTCTTGCTCTTTTTCACATTTTCTTGTGTTGATTTTAAAATAAATCATGCCTATGGGTATAAATAGCTTGTTTCATAATTTATTATTGTCAGAGAGTAGCAAATTATAGATTAAATTATAGATTAAAATCTAACAAATAGTAGGAAACTTTGCAAATATTGGAGAACAAAGGAAAACTGGTTTAATATGTACAATTTGATGTGAAGATGAGTATAATTCTCACCTCATCTCAATGATCCAATTTTCCATCTTGTTCTTAAGAAATGTTACAGTGTGGGCATTGATTTTCACTCTTGGTGTTTCTGTTTACATTTAGAAGTTTGAAATCAGAGTAAATATATAATGCGTTATGTTACCAGGAAGCTTAAGGTGAGATTGAGCACTCTGAGGATTTCTGGAATTGCTGGGTTATCTCAGAGTAAGAGTGAACATTTTAGCAGGTTCTGTGCCTTCCTCTTGAAAGTATTTTTCCTCTCGTGTTGGAACAGTCTCCCAGTTCATGGAGGAAATAGCCATTATTGATCTCTTCATGGACCTTACAAACACAGCATCTTCTGGATCATCAAACACAGTCCTGTACAGGTAGCAATTATGTGAGAAAAAAATGAATTTGACCAAAGTGAATTTTTTTGTTTTGTTTTTATAATGCTTGGTGTTGAACTCAGGGCGTTGTTCATGCTAGGCCAAGTGCTCTACCTGAGTTATATACCAGCCCTGAATTTTTCTGTATTAAGTATAGTACAGTGCCACTCACAAATAATGTGTAGGCTTTACTACCAAATGACTTCCTTTTTTGTGTGGCAGCAGTAAGGCTTGAACTCAGGGCTTCACATTATGGTGCACACCATTTGAACCATGCCTCCAGCCTGGATTTTTTTCTGGTTATGGAATCTTTAAGACTTTTCTGTCCAGGTTGGCTTCAATACCAAATGATGTTCTAGCTAAGCAATATTTTTATTGTATATATGGGTTGTTGTTTTTAAAATAGAGTATCTGGACATATTTTGCGAATAATATTTTTCAACCCTGAATCCAATGAAAAGACTTTTAAATGCAAACAACAGTAATTTAAAAGCTCATCAGTATTCACAAATTTGAAATATCTTCCACAGAATTAATGAAGTGTTTACTTTTGAAAATGTAAATTCTAGGAAGTGTGAAATGCTAATCTTCATGATAATTGCTTCCACTGAGCATATTTAGAGAAAAAGTAAATAAGGAAAGTTCCTCATTTGGAATAACAAATAATTCTTAATACGTTTTAATGTTTTATGCATGAAATCACCTTTTTACTTATACAAGGTTATTAAAAACCTAAATATATCCACTATGAGTAAATAGCAGGAACTTGTTTATCATAGAAAAATAGCCATTTTCTGTCTAGTGAAGAAGATAGTCATTTTAACTCATCAAAATTTGTTTTAGAAAAATCTATTTTAAGAAATAAGGATAATTTAGAGACAAGATAATTGTAAATTAATATGACAAAAGTAAAAAAATTATTTAAAGAAAACTTACTTGTCTACACTATCCCCAAATGCAAAATCTAAAAAAGAAAAAAAAACTTCAATTAGTGATTTTTCAAATGTTTATTTAGCATTGGAAAACAATGGAGTGATGCTATAACTAGAAGACTAACCTCGTGATTTCAAGTAATTGATCAGAAATGGCTTGAAACTGAAAATTTCTCTTAGAAAGGGGGGGGTGTTGTCTTTTGTTTGAGAACAAATTCTTTAAAACAAGACAAATCGAGAGCAGGGTTTAAGAACAGGATGCTTAAATCAGTTTAGTTGCTAATCAGCTCCAAGTGGGAATTTTCTAATTAAGATATTGACATTCATATTGCAGAAGTGAATCTCTTTTTTTTTCTTCTCACAATCACATTCACCTCTAAATGGATGAGTGTTCCAAAATGAAGAGAAATATGTAAGGGCCATTTTACTCATCTGGATTCTTGGCATTGACTTCAAAGAAAGAAAATAAACAAATCCCAGCTCATAAGAATCCCTATCTCCTCTAGCTTTAGAGCTCAAGGACAAGACCTCAAAGCTTTTGCAGTACCTTCCAGAATGTCGTTGCTTTGTTTCTTTCTCTCTAGAAGGATTAGTGCTAGGCTAGAGATGGAACTTTCCAGCACCTGTTGAGTCTCTAAAGCCCACGGTATGAGCTCTTGCCAGTCAGTCCACAAGAGACAGAGCCTGCATCCACCACTGCCTTGAGAAACAGACTTGTTTTTTCACAAGTGGCTCCTGTGCCTTTTGGTTCTCCCCAGTCCCTATTTTTTTGACATTTCCCCTGATAATATTGAGAAATAAAAAATTGGAATTATACATATCTAAGATGTACAGCTATATTATACTATACAACTATATGATACTCTACAATATAGAAAATATAATTATACAGAAAACAATCACAGCTTATTCACATATTCATCAGTTGACATAGCTACTTGTGTGTATGTGTGTGTTTATATGGTGAACACATTTAAGTTCTACTCTTTTAGCAAATTTCAAGTATGTAGTATTATTATGTACAGTCACATTACATTATATCTCCAGAATGTAGTTGTCTTGCATAATTGAAACTGTCTCATTGGCAAACATCTCCCCATATTTTCCTTGGCTGCAGCTATCATTCTGTTCTGTGCTTCTTTGAGTTTGACATATTAGATTTCATATGCATGTGATTTTATGCAGTATTTTGCTTTTGGTGTCTGGCTTATTTCATTCCACATAATATTCTTCAGGTTTATCTGTAGTGTTGTAAATCACAGGATTTCCCTATGCTTTCTTCTACAAAGGAATGATCACAGAAAGAATACTTTCTTCTTGCAACAAATATAGTGAAGAAAACATGGCTTAAAAAGTGGAATATTGGGGCTGGGAAGATGGCTCAGTGGTAAAGGGCTTGCCTTGCATGCATGAGGCGCTGGGTTCGATTCCTCAGCATCACATAACCAGAAAAGGCTGAAAGTGGTGCTGTGGCTCAAGTGGTAGAGCGCTAGCCTTGAACTGAAGAGGTGAGAGACAGCGCCCAGGCCCAGAGTTCAGGCCCTATGCCCAACAACAACAACAAAAAAGTGAAATATCTCTTTCACCTTCTCAATGCTTCTAAACAAAAGTATCACTATGAAGCACTGAGGGTGGGGTTTGGGGCCAGAGTTCATCCTTATAAAGCCTTGTGTTCAATCTCTAACATTTAAAAAAAAAAATACTTAGAGTTATTCCAGACTATGTCTGTATACATGGGCATTCACCCACATATGTATGTATAAATTGCTTTGCTGATAAAATTCTAATTTTGTTGTATATTACTCTGCAGTGTATTTTAAATATTCCAAATATATCATGGAATAATTCTATAACAGGATCATTAGTTTATACCAATGTGCCATAATAGAATATTTGCTTATGAGCAACCATCCAAATTATATCTGCCCAATTTATATTACAAGAAACATTGCAGTAAACAGCCTTCATGTGTGCAGGAATTTCTATAGGTGAGATTTCAAGTCCAGTTACACATGTTACATGTCAACATGTATTGCCACTTGGTCTTCCAAGAAAGTTGAGCCAATTCTTGTTCTCATCGATGAAGGACATGAATAGTGAATGCTCCCATTTTGAGCACTCTTAGAATTGTATCCCCCCCCCTTTTTTGGGGTCCGGTCATGGGCCTGAACTCTGAGCCTGGGCGCTACCCCTCAGCTCTTCAGCTCAAGGCTAGCGCTCTACCACTTGAGCCACAGCGCCACTTCCAGCATTTTTTTTTTTTTGCTTATGTGGTGCTGAGGAATTGAACCCAGGGCCTCAAGCATGCAAGGCAAGCGCTTTACCACTGAGCCACCTTCCCAGCCCAGCTTTGTACACCCTTTGGGAAAAAAAAATCATAAAAAAGAACATAAATTCAGAAGCAAACGAATGCAATAAAATACTCCTTGTGTTCTTTGTTTTCTGGTTTTCATTTGGTTGTTCAGAGGAAACACAATACAAAGAATAAAAAAGGACACTAATTATTCTAGCATCAAGCACAGTAGAAACAATGTAAAGCTGCAATGGTTGTGGCCAGGCCTTTCCTTCCCCCTATGCTAATGATAGCCTTGGAGGACAGAGGAGGTTATCTGGGTATCTTGTTACTGTTGCACATTAGATCTCTAAGGGGGAAGCTCCTCTTCCAAAGATTCTTTCCCTAGGTTGGTATAACTTGTTCCCACCAATCCACTGATATGCAGTTTCAGCCATCATCTCTCATGTAAAGCAGAAAGAAAACCAAGAACATGGCTGGTACACAGAAACAGTTCAGCTGAGTGAACACTTGTTAGGTGTGTCAGATCTAGTTTTTTGGATTTAACATCACAGCAGCCAAAGGAAGATAAGAACCGCATTTTAAATCAGAAAACTGAAGAAAACTAAGGACTACACTAAAATTTTTTTATTATCCATAGGGCTGGTATTTAAATATAGGAAAGTCTCTTTATGTGGACTGGTCTCTACCAGGACTTATTAAACCATAACTGAACTAGGTTGAGTGTGAAGGTACATATCTGTAGTCCAAACTACATGGGAGATGGATGGAAGCAGGAGGATCTTGGATTCGAGGCCAAAAGTTAGTTTGATCTTATCTCAAAATTAAACTACAAACAACAGATCTGGAAGAATAGCTCAAGTGGTACAGCATTTGCCTATCATGTAGGAAGCCCTGAGTTGTTCGATCCCCAGTAGCATATAAACAAAACCCCAAACAGAATAGCAGCTGGGTGCTTGAGAGTATAATTTAGGAAATGAGGGAAGAGTTTTCGTTTTTACTGAGTTCCTGGGGCTGCTGCTCTTTGGGGAACCACCGAGATTCACCCACTGTTCTCCACATTGCTCTTCCATACCCATGGCCTGTCCTTCAGTACTAGTTCATATGAAAGAGAAGAGACCAAGAGACAAGGCTAAGGAAGCAATCCTAAAAGTCCCGGCGTTCCACTGTATGACTTGGCTTAGCCCTAAAGCCGCAGGGAACAGCATTTGTCAGTCATACTGGATTTGGCTTCAAAGGGCAACTGTTGAGGTCTTCTTGGAAAAATTGGGAAAATATACACATGGATTATCTGTTAAATTACACAGATTATTTCTTTGTTTCCCTT